GAACGATGTTGATTTGGGAAGAAAATGACTTCACCAATTGTGAAAACAACTTCTATTACAATAATTAAAGTATAATMAAAAAGTATGAGAAGTTGTTCAATAAAAAAGTAGCTTTCTACAGCATTCGTTGTTAGTTGACTGTCCATTTATGCGTGAATATTTGTTACTAACGCAAATGCTGATAAGCATGCATTATTTGAAACTAAATGAATAATTAATGAATGGTCATGAGAATCAAATCATAATATCCAACCAATTCACAAATAGCTTTAGTTGGTAGGTCTATGGGATTTCATGCGAGATGTCAAAGGTTCGAGTCACAGGCACTGCAACATAGGTTAAAAAGTAAAAATAAAATAGAAATAAATGTAATAGAGTACAAACACTAAAACTGTGCAACATAAATACCACTAAAAACTGCTAAATTATGCTAATTCTATTGTTTTCTATTTTTTAATTAACATTATTTTGTAGTGTATAGTGGAAAGTCTTAATGTTTGTACTCTATGTTAGGTCATCAGGTAGATTAGGGAGAAAGAGAAAAGAACGTAAGAAGAAAAAGACTGAAAATAGCCATAAAAGCTAGAAAAATATTAGATGAAGGTAATATTTTGTATAAAAATATATATACAGCTTTAGGATTTGGATATCTGAGGAAACTTCTAGGACTAGGTTATCCTAGGAGATGGATCTCATTTGCATGGGGTGTTGGATCAAGGTCATTCAAATGCATACACGTGACCCTAAAGAGATCAAATGATTGGACATGCACCCGAGGTTGGCAAACTCAGCTTTTGGCCTTAATATAAGAAGTAGAACTCCAAATATTCTTCGTTGAGGGTAGGTTGAGCTTGCCCACCTCAATAAAAGTGCGAGTTGAACACTGAACCAACATAGTAAGTTGAATTAGTATTAGTATGCACTGTGTGTACGAAGTATACTGTGCTTTTGGTACAATTTGAATCTGTGATTTTTATTTCTTCATTATCCTCACTGTCACTTTGGATGAACGGGTTAAGTCTTTGGATGAAAAGTATAGGCTAGACTCCGTCACCTCAACTCTGGAGAGAGTGTACACGTCTATTGAAAAACCTCGCTATGATCCAGATGACGCCCTGGTAAAAAGCGCTGGTAAAATGGGGACCCATTAAAGGGAGAGATCCTAAAGCTAGAAAAAATTAAAATGGTTTCAGCAATGCCCACAAGCAAAACTGATATAATGTTCCGTGTACTGTGATATATGTACTTTGCTTTCATTGGCTGTTTATTTTTGAATTCTAAAGAACGTGCTTATTGGCTGMAGGAACTTGCGCCATTCTTACCCGGAAAATGAGGAAAAAAAATTGCTAGTCGATATCAAGCTTTCTTCAACGATCAAAATGGAGACTCTTGAGATCGCCTCCTACTTCAAAACTTCCTTTACCTTCGACTGAAATGTTTGACAATATTTTGACAACAGAGAATACCTGGGTGATTGATTTGCGACCAGGCCTGAATTCGCCAAAGGTTGTAAGCCAGTGAGCCCGTGCATTTTTGTTAAGCGGTCATATTTGAAAGTGTAAATGAAGAAAATTGTTTTGAGTCGTTTCGACATAAACAGTCGSTATCAAGACATTACTCGAAAAACCCAGTCACCGTTCTAGCTGTCGTTGTAAGTTCAAAGCTAGTAAATGTGTAACGTCAACCCGCTGTATCGTCGAGAACGCTTGCGGCTTATTGTCGAAAATGCACGCGACAAAGGATGAATTTCGACATTTGTTTGTACCAAAAAACCCAAAATCTTTAACTCTATTGGAATACGTGGAGCTAGGATGATCTAGCTCTTCCAGTGATGTTGTACGATACCTCAAAGCTCAATCTCGTTCCAGAGCCCGCGTTCCTCTTGGCCTGAGGGCGCGAGCAACCACGAGCTCTGGCCTAATCCATATTTTTTATCAGATTTTCTGGTGTTCCGGTTAAATTGCGCATGCGTGTCAAAAAGAAAAATGGCGGAAAATTTGTTTTATAGTTCGCTATAGTTCGGTCTAGCGGCTATAGGAATGCCAAATTTAGCTTTGAAAACCAAACAATTTGAAATTTTAGAAATTGTTGTTGTGTTTGCCGGTAAAGACATTTGAAACTTTGAATTTTTTCGCTAATACTAACGAGATTTGTGGCGCACAGTCTACATAAATATCCAGAGAAAACGTCGTCTTAATGTATGTTATTTACTGAGCATATATCTTGCAAAGACGTTAAAACGCCCTCTCTCTCCGACTTGTTTCCAAACAAATCTACTTTGTAGCGATTTTAAAGTTTATTGCAAAAGTCTACAAGTATTTTAAACTTGCTACGTTGCCGCTTTCTTCGGAGAAGACATTGCTACACTCTGTTGCTACACTTTACAATTAATTTTTGTTTACAATTTTGCAACATCTTCAGTRGGSCTAGGACTCCTCGTCGCGCTCGCGCCCRAATTTTGGCGCTGTTTTTCGCAACTATGATTGGTCAAATTTTACTTCCGGAGACGTCCGCATTCGTAATGAGGAAATTCTATTATCGACCAATGAAAAGCGCGCAAAATATGGATTAGGCCAGAGTTCGTGGTTGCTCGCGACCTCAGGCCAAGAGGAACGCGGGCTCTGGAACGAGATTGCTCAAAGCTTAGAGGAAACAAGAGCTAAGAAAAAGGATTTGAAATGGCTCCTCCTAAGATACTTTGGCCTTGAAGAACGTCGCTTCAACGACCTTCTGGAGTCTTCGTGAAGTCGGCCATTGCTTCGCATGTAATGGACAACCCGCGTAGAACACAGATCAATTATCTTTATCAGGGAAGGGAGTCTCTAGGTATTAAAGACAAAATTCATATCAAACTTAAAGGTGACAAAAAGTCCGTGATCACCCTAGCGTAACCTGACAGTCCGTATGAAGTGTCAAATTCGACGAAAAGAGACCAGATTTCAAGACTTTTTGAAGAAATGCAATGATATTAAAGACAATCCTAAAAACCTACCATCGAATCTAAGAAATAAAATATATATGTGACCTTTCTGTGTATTCTTCGTGAGAAAATTTGAAAATCCAAGTATGTATTTTCGCCTTTGAAGCCGTTTGAGTTGAGCATCAAAATAGCAAGGCGATCACAGGTAGCCCAAGCTAGGCATTTGTGTACTTTTTAGAAATATTTAAAATATAACAAAAATAAACATCTCTACCTGTGTACTGTGTTTTTCTTTACATTTCTGTGAGGTTTCAGGCCATTTCCTTCAGTTTTGAGCGATTTATGCCTGTGGTTTTGATTATTCTTATGAAGGCTATTGAAGTAAAAGCTATTGTTGAAGAGTCCCAGGCCGTTTCGGAGCTTTTTGCTTTCCTAATGACCGATAAACCTATATTTTCTTTTAAAAAATGCCGTATTTGTGTTCTTTTTCGGCTTCTTCATTYATAACAAAAGATCTTAGTGTAAGACATCTAAGCAAATGTCACCCGATGTATTGCAATAAGTTTGATATGTATTTGTTATTTCATTTTTAAGATAAAATTCTATTTCTATAACGATAAATATTTGATTGACATTTAATAAAAGCTATTTTATAAAGATTTTCATTTTCTCTTTGCGTTTTGGCTTTGATATTTCTGATAGAATAAAATGACAGGCAGCTTACTCCACTGGGTCGAGTTTTGCTGTGCAAATTTCTCCCGTCGGGGGGTTATGTTTACAACATAAGCTTGTCAGCTTTSCGCTGATTGGCTAGTCGCATTTTTTCAAATCAACCAGACAGTATCGCTTCGAAACCACAATCGATCACGCCAAGAAAGCAAGAACTTCCGAAATCACATGACATATACACTGGCCAGGATCGACTTTAGCTAATAAGTGTACACGTTTGATTTAAGAGCGAAGGATCTTCGTCACTCAATTAAAGGTAAGTATGCATATATTTCGCTGTGCATCGGACAGGATCTTTGTCACTGATTCGCAGGCGATCAAAGCATAGTTTTGGTTTGGCCACTGCACACAGACTAGTAATTCTTATCTTTATCTATTTTGAACTTAGGTCTCCCTTGAAGCCCGAGGTCTACCCTTGCATWATTTAAAATAGATACTCACATTTGTCAAAGCATAACTTGTGAACGCAGACTTGGATGATTCGGTTCGAAGTATTGTTTTGGTTCCAAGATTTGCTCCGACGACAACATTCTTAAAAAGACAACAAACCATCAACCATTAGAAAATAATAAATAAAAAAACATTTCGCTAATGTTGATAACGAGGCATTTCAAATACAACTAGCCAGTTTTATTAAATGATGTGTGTAATAGTCATTTGTAGTCATTCTCGTTATTGGTTCTAGGGTTTTCTAGTGTCCATATTACGGTTAGGTATCGGTTAGAGAATTTTAACTGCTGTTTCTACTAATACTGACAAATCTCTGTAGTAATTGTTGTGCAGGTGAAATCATTCCAGTGCCCTTACCGTTCCCCATGCCTTAAGGAAAGATGTATATTTCTTTTCATTATACTGTGGTGGGAGGTTGCACACAGCGCTTGCAAATTCTTCCGACACGGAGAAAACTCCTTGAAACGCCATATCAGTAAAATACTCCGCATTGCCTTTGAGGCAAACCGTTCTTTCTTCATAGAAGACCTTTTCACTGTCTGTAGTGCCTTTATTCATGTTCTCATAGCCTTGGGAGAAAATATTTATGCGGGTTATTTAATCGCCAAGTAAAAGAAATGAATGACGGGATATATAGTGCGGCGGGGAAGAGATGAAATACGCTAACAAAGTACACGTTGAGTAGGTTAACGCATTTGGAGTATAACTAGACTGATAGCTGCCTCTGAACTTGGGGTTCTTTCTAATAAAACATRTAAATATAAATATATAGATATTTTAATATCTTAAAAGCGTAAGTTAAGTTGTTATATCGATAAAGTTTGTATACTTTGGTAGTTTCTTGGTAAGGCTCGTTTACACTTGCATGCAGTGCATTAGAGTGCACGCCACTAAGAATAGCCGACTTGCGAATTACGCATCAATAGTCACATACAAAGGAATCAAGACGAGGCGAAGTGCTTTTTTGTGAAAAATCTATTGTCTTTAGCACGGCGCCTCGTCTTGATTCCTTTGTATGTGACTATTGATGCGTAATTCGCAAGTCGGCTATTGTGTAACAATACTCCATTTTCGAATTCCAAGCGAACAACCGCTGTTATATTTGACAGCAGATTCAATTACGCAAAGAACTTACCAAACACAAAAGAAAGCACGAGAAAATGTTGTTAGTACAAAACCGCTAACAATTTACATTTTCCCGAGTTGAGGCTAACTCTGTATTCCCAGAAGGCTCATACCTTAGGTCTTATGGGAATACAGGGTTAGTCTCAACTCGGGAAAAATGCAAATTTTCAAGGCTATTGTAATAACGACATTTTCTCGTGCTCTCTTTTGTGTTTGGTCAGGTCTTTGCGCAAGAGAACCTGTTGTCAAATAAAGCAGCGGTTTTTCGCTATGAACTCGAAACTGGAGTATTCTTAACTAATTAGCGCGTAATAAGATTTAGTTATCAACTAACTAAGAATTCTTTGAGTCGTAAACAAAGACAATTTCCTTTTTGGCATTGTGTTCATGCCCCAGTGAATTCTTTGTTAGTTGATAACTAAATCTTATAAGTTGCTGATTATAAAGGATTGTTTCACGCTTTTGTGGCATGTGCACTTTAAGGTACGGCTAAGAGAAAGCCCTCCTTTCCATAGCAGGCATTGCATAGTACCAATAAATATCATTATTTGTAAAGTTTAGCTTTTGCTTGATTAGGGACTGTGTAATAATTACCAGGAAGGAGGGGGGTCGTAAAACCAGAGGGGGGAGGGGGGTGGGCATTACATAAAATTGATGCCAAGATGTAAGTAAAGTAAAATTACCTAATTAACAGAGAAGGGGCCATAAGTTATATTCAAAATTGTCATTATTTTCTTTATCTTAAATACAACGTAGATAACAGCCATAATTGTAGAAAATGACAAAAACAACTTTAACTGACAATTAATATTGATATTACTTTTAAACGCTCGACAATTGGCTATACTACGAATGGGATTTGTAAGTGATTTGAACGTATTTGAAGTTAAATCCATGTCCTGCATCTCGCATTATCACACTCGCGACCACCAGTCTGTTATGAATGTCATGTGATAGGTTTCATTCGTACCCAGTGCATTTATATATTAGGCCGAGTACAATTTGTGACCGAAAGACGACCATGACGAAAATTCAGGAGCACATTACTAGGAGCCTTCCTCTTCTTCATAAGCTCTTGGAATGAAGGTAACTTCATTTTTGAAGAGCTTTTGCTTAGATGCAAAATATTGTACAAAACTGTCACGCATTTATTTCTTGAATTGTATTGGGCACATGTAAAGCTCGGCGTATAGCGCGGTCCTTAGGGTATTTGGGATTTCTGGCCATCAAATTGTAATACAATTGCGGGGAATAAAAATGCGCGGGAATTAATAACTATAGAGCATTTTCGTCTTACTTGCACTGGCCGAGAAAGCAGCACTCCAAAGTCCCTCGTATTCCGCTAGAAGAAAAAAACAAAAAACACAAAAAACTTAGGCACCTCTAAAGCTATAAATATAATTGATATTTTTATAGATGCAAATAAGTAGAAAAGAGTTTAAACACTATTTTTTTTACCCTCAACTGAGACGCTGACTTTAAGTTCTTTTTGATAAGCCTCGCTGTTAGCAACAATGTCGTGTTTTTTCGTTGAAACGCAGGAATCGCGAACAGTAAACCGAATTTGATCTGGTACAAGATACTTATTGTTGTCTGATCTCTTATCTTCCTTATAAGAGAGGCCAAGAATCCTCTTAGCAGGGAGCAGCCCTGGATCGACACCGCCATTTGCGATATCCTGACCATCGGGGTTTCCTCTTATGAGATCGTAGCCACTGCCAATAAAAGAAAGACCAGCTGGGCTAGGGAGAGGCGAATCATCTGMCATTTCGTCTTCATCTTTTGTAGAAGTTGTATTTTTTATTAGTGATGACGACGTTGAGATGAGAGTGAAAGAAGCACCAACAATGAAAAGTGCCAACACGTACTTCATACTTGCTGAAAAAACAAATTTGATTAAAATTAAGGTTCGCCCCATGTAAGAGAATCCGGAATCCACGAAATTTCAGCTTTTGGAACCTGGAATCCGACTCCTATAGACTGCGCAGGCAGGCGTTCCTTGCCACTCTGAATGCCCGTTTACACTTGCGATTTTTGCAGCGCGATTGTCGCGCGACAATCGACACTTCTCACGCACTTAAAATCGTACGTGTAAACAGCCCTGTGATTTTCGCGGCGATCGAAAATTGCCCCAAGTTGCAACCAAATTTCAAGCTTGGTCGAAACTCAAGCGATTGTCGCGCGACAAGCGTGCTTCAAAAATCGCAAGTGTAAACGGGCATCCAGAGTGATTGGGCCGTAGATTGGGCCATAGAATGCAAGAAGGGAACGCCGTTCTTTTGGAGCGGCTAGGAATGGTGCTCATTTGCTAGGTCTCCTTACATACAGTTGTTCCAGGGACAACCTCCCTGGTTATGCAAAAGTATCTTAAACTGATTAACAGATATAATCCTCACTCCAAAATGTTTGGAATTTTGAATTCAGAGTCTTGCGGAATCCAGTCGMACCCACCGTTGGTCCGGATTCCCTCATGACATGATGAAGTCTAGTTCTATCGACATATAATTATTGTAACATAGACGTAATCCAAATTCACAGCAAAATCAAAAATTAGTGTAACGATGAAAGGATAAATACGAGATTATGTTTTAATATCTGCGCGCTCAAAAAGATGATTCGAAAAATCCCTAAATTGTACTAAAGCTTTGTACTATATGGGAGGAATTATCAGGAAAATAGGTAAACATATTTTAAGGCAMGTTTTTACGAGTAAAGTTGTATGAGGAATCAAGCAAAATCAATTTAAAATACAAGCTGAATACTTCGATATTTTGAAATTTGATATATATTTGTTCACAACGGAGTCGTTCTTCACAAGGGAAGGTTTCGACAAAACACGGGACGGCATGGRAGAGTTCAATGGGCGCCATGTGACGTTATGCAGGTCTCAAAATGTGTTTCACAAAGTGATCGGGATCAGTCAATTTATGCAACGTTTGTACCTTTAAGCAACAGTTCTCAGCTATTCTTGGTCACTAGAGAAAGTGGATTGTCCTTTTCAGCACTGGTCTCAGCTATTTTCTATACGATAAAATCAAAAAGAACAATTAGTTGAATCCCCAATCGAAAGAGACTTGCTCATGGACCCCCTCCCCCCAAATTTTGTTTTTGCTCTAGTAATTACATATTTACCTCGCTGTCAGTACTGCAGTTCAGAGAAAATACCTGATCAATGTGAATGCCAGTGTTAATTTATAGTTGAATAAGAATTGGCCTTTTCTTGTAGTGTCATTGGAACTAGCTTGTGATTGGTTGCTATTCTTCGGTCATGCTGAGTGTTATTGAACTACATGCATGTGACGGATGACAAATTCTTTTGTAACTCTTATTGTAAGTCTTTTCAAGTGTAAAATGAGTGTATATTAACTCTGTCAGTCAAACAGAAATAAACCTTTCTTTATTGTTTTGATATATATTCTTTCATTAACTAAAATTAGCATCAATTTTTCATTTCGTGCAAAGTTAAGGATGACAGCATTGCAGGGGATTCCCATCACTAATTCAAGGGTAACGCCTTTGTGTTTATCCAAGTGTAAAGCTATGTGTCGTGGAGTGAAACCTGATTTGACTTGATACATCATGACTTGCACACCTGTTAATCCAGTTCTAGAAGCTAGAAAGCTTGAATAAACCTTACAAAAACTATAGTGAAAACAATAAACTTATTGTGGAAAAGATAAGTAACAGAATAGTACTGGTCATTTCTTTGTTTTTATTGTCTAATCAACACTATTTAGTCGTTAATAAGCAATATTAGGTGCGCKGGAGCTTTCACAAATATCGCAGCCGCACGAAGTGCAGTCCCTTTCATGGTCTCTTGTTCTATTACTTTAATCTTAGTAGACATTTCTGTTGAAAGGAAGTTCACACTATACATTGAGCACAAGAGGTAATAGATTTAGGGATAGAAAACAAAGAGGAACAACAAGACAAAAAAGTGGAGACTTTCTTTCCTTAWTTGGCTTAAGCTTTTTATCAATTGCTACTAGTAATTATATTTATGTCTCCGCGCTTAACTTAGCTCCTTTGTCCTTTTGAATTCTTATTTTCTTTACAACGGCGCTTTTGTCGAAGTGTGAACGTGAACAACATCAAGTTTATTCTATTGTTAAGTTGGTTTCATCTAATTCCTACCTAAATACCATTAACAACTGATAGGACATTAGTACTTTAGGCAAAATATACCGTGCTTGCAATCTTTTGTATTGCTATTTTCTATCACATGTTTTAATACACGACAGCAGTGTTAATAGTTATGATACAAGATATATCAGCAAACAATTAAATCTTTATAAAGGGAAAGCAAGAACATGAAGAAGAACTATATATCCTTTATTACTTGTGATCTCTGGAGTGAGCTATCTAGCTGAAATGTCAAACTACGTTTTTCTAAACTTGTCGAACAGTATTATTTCGGTCTTTCTTACATTCCTCTTGTTGTATTAATTGAAATTAAAGTTTTTTCGACGACTTTTCGAAAAATAAAATGGACTGCCTGACGTTTAGTTCTGGGACTAAACGTCAGGCAGTCGAAAAATATCAAAGTGCCGTGCTTGTGTTTGAAACTTGTCGAACAGTATTATTTCGGTCTTGATTGCATTTCCCCTGTTGTATTAATTGAAATTACGGTTGTTCCGACGATTTTTAAAKAAAAAAATTCGACTGCCTGACCATTTATCGTCGGTCGATTGTCAAGCAGGTTCAGTACTTTATAACATACACTTGAAAACATTARCTAAACATTCAACTTTTTCGCTTAATTTTACTTTGAATTTGTGTCTAAACTGCTACAATATAAGCAAACGATCTCCCAGAGCTCAAACCTGGCTACGAAGTCAATAAACATCCCATTTAATAGCCAGAACAACTGACCACGAATTGACCTTTGGCGGTCAAAGGTTGCAGATTTCTCCGTAGCTATCTCGCTCTTCACTTCTTCATCTTAACTATGTACTTTGTCTCTTTTTCAATCTAGGCCTAAAGATCTCACATTTTGTTGACGATCGTCGATAGAATGTTTGTAGAGGCGATAAAACATGAAGGACGATGCAACTCAATTTAGTTTACAGCGTGAAGACTCAAACACGAAGCGAAAGCCGTTGATAGATCAGAGATTTACCATAATTCGTTAGCAGATCAAAGAAGTCTTTCTTTTTTCTTCATTWAAATCAGAAATCCTTCAAAACCCCTTCGAAAGCTATCTGCCATGAATACTAATGAGCCTTCTAGATTTTGKAAGGCAACGCTCTGATTGGTCAATCCCCGAGAACGGAATTTTTAGCCAAGTGAAGCAGCCGTTAGGGGGGAGTGACCTGGGAACGAACGTCCTAACGGCTGCGAGAGGAGACTATAAGTCGTTCACTATTGAACTGATTTACATCAAATTTTGGAATTTTGCATTTCTCAACGAGGGCTTTCTTTCTATGTAAGTCTTATCTCGAGATTATCCAATTAGGGGATTTTGCCCAGTCCCCACTCGACTTGAAACCCGGCAATGGATGGTATTTATATTTGCTTTGGAAAGCGACCCTGTATAAGGTATGCCGGGTAAGATGGTCGATAGTGCGCGTTTCTGGACGTTCTTTAAATCATCTTGAAGGCAATGAGTAATGGAACACGGGGCTTGCGTAGTCGAGTGACGAGCGTATACAGGCACAGTACTAAGAAACTAGATCATGGGGTGTGATCTGCGCACGCTTCAACTGAACTAGAAAATATATCTTCTTCCTAACTTTCCTCACTAACTCATCTACATGGTCGTTCCAGGTCAGGCTATTGTTGGTAATGACTCCAAGAAGTTTGGCTRTCTTTGYGATATCGATTGCTCCTCCGTCCAAGATGTTCGTAGGGAACTGCGGGGGTGAGCGGTTGTATGAGATGACTAGTTCTTTTGTCTTCTATCGATGATTTRGCTGGAACAAGTTTTTTCTTGAATAACATGGTTAACTGCACACTGCGCAGAGCTACGTTGACCTTTCTCAACGACCTCAGACACAGTTGTGTCGTTAAAAAACGTGCGGGCTGGTGACAAGTCATCAATCATTAGTAGGAAAAGTCAGGGGCCCAGTTTTGTCCCCTGGGGGACTCCGGATGGAATACTGTCCCAATCAGAATAGCAGTCTTTTCCAAGATTCACCTTTTGTGATCTACCAATTGACTCCTTTCCGTCCGACTATGCAAATATAGGACTTATTCGTCCTATGCTTTAAAAAATCATAACTTCTCAAAATCATGCGACACGAATCTAAAACTTTATCCAACTAGACACCTAGTAAATACAATGAAACCTAGAGCACAACAAATTACACATCAACCAGAAAATCAGGGAATAAAGGGCCCTGGCTTTCAAGGAATTGCCAGAATTTAGATTTTAAACTAGTTTGGATAGAAGTGATAAGCACTCAATTTTGAGTGTCTAAATGCATTTTCCCAGCAAAAATCCCATTTAATTTGGATACTGCACTCTAGAACGTTCATGTCTCGGCGCTTATACTACATCAAAAACTATACAAAATTTACCTTGGTAGGCTCGGAAATCTGCCACAAAAGRACCAAAGAAGCGACTTTACTCAAACGACTCCAGTTCAAAACAAACCTCGTCCTGCAACCGTTCTCCTTGAAAAATCGCTTCTCACTTCTGATTTCTTCCAGAAGAGTGTCACCTAGTCGAACTAAATGATGCCGTCCTAGGGGCTCTTGTGCGGAAAATGCCAAAAAAAAAACACTTATAAAGGCCATTTTTGGCGAATTCAAGACCGATCACTCGCTAACCAAACGAGCTGTCTTGAATTCTCCAGGCGTCTATGAAATGTACATTTTCAACGGAGTTTSATTCAACAAATATTTTATGGACAGCTCCATTTGGAGATCAAAATAATTGTCAATCATAATGTTTTGGATCGTGGATCGAAAAATGCTTGAAAATCAACAAAATAKCCATGGACGTCAATGAGATAAAAAATCTATAATCCAGTTCACGATACTGTTGGGGATKTCAACCTCTTTAAGCTTGGTCGCTAAGGTCCTGTGGTCTACAAGGTCAAACGCTTTTCTATATTCGAAAAGCAGAACACGTACTGCAGCGTCGTTTCCGTCTGTTGACTTAAGGCACGCGTGCATCATACTTATAAGGGCCGGAACAGTTGACGAGCCGGATATCGTGCCAAATATATTTGGATCGACCATTTTTTCTATTTTTTCTCATTTTTTTAAAACAACTTTAAAAATATCCGTTCAAGTGTTTTCATAATGAGATGGCCGCCATATTATCCGCGATTGCTGCTAATGTCTTCTACTCTAAAAGTCCTTTCTGGTGAACGGGCCATTCGGGCCTTCTAAGGCCACGGAGGGACCATATCGGGTAGCGCAAGGGTAGATGTAAGAACGACTGTCATTTGCTACAAACGTTGTTCGAGTAAACATCCTAGAATATCAGGGGCGTATCTAGCATTTCTACAGACTAGTTTCAAACTCGAAAAAAGTTGTATTGACATATGCTAATTAATCAAAACATGAATATTTATTAAGTCCGTCCTAATAAACCAAATGTTTATTTAACTGACTGCAAAATGATGCGATTCTAATAAACTGATTTAAAAGCTGATTCAGCTAATTTTTAAATACAACTCAAGTTACACAGGGACGACAATGCGCGGTAGATTACATTAGCTACCGAATTCCAGAAATTGCTTTTCGAGTTTAAATTATCAATTCTTATATAACTGTGTATAATGTGTAGCTTATTTGGTTCAAGTGTTTTCATTGTTTTGAATCACCTTGCCATTATTTTCAATACATACCAAGTACGAAGAATGTTCGCATGAAGTCGAAACAGCCGGCGATTCCAATGTATGGGAACTTTGCACGAGTGGCTTGACCACATTCCGACACAAATATAACAGATTCAAACAGTGTTGGAAGCAATTGTGGACTAAATCTTTTTTCGATTTGCTTAGAATTGTCATAGGTAATTATTTCAAACAATTTCCCTCAAAACACGTTGCTAACTCAGTGAATGACACGAAGTTTTCCAAAGATACTGACATAGAATCTTACCAGGGTAGGGTAGTTACTGGATTCGACTGGTTTCTGACTAGTTTCTGGTAAGCTCCTACTCCTCCCTTGTACAAAGCTCGATTCTGATTGGCTAACATCACCATTCA